ACATATATAATGTATAATAATGGAAATTTGACTGAATTTTACAAAATACTAGTCCACTAAAACACAGCCAAGACAGGTAACTTTTTAAAGACTAAAGGTCAATTTTATATTATTGGATACGGTAATGTAAGTGCATGTGTGCCACATCATTGTAACTTCTGTATTGTTAGCCAGGCATGATTGAAAGATTCATATAATAAAAATAATAAATATATATAAATGTAAAATGTTAAGAGATTTAAGCTATTTAGTCTAAACATTTATGTTTTTGTTTTATAATTTGTTTTCATTCTAGAACTATATTTATTTCCTAATTTTTTATGGTGGTTACAAAAACAGTCAAATCTACTGAACCCGTACAGAGATTTGTTAATGAAAATAACAGATAAAATATAGTTTTTTTCTTAAGAAATGTTTGATAACTATTTGGACATTATAAAGATTTCGCATATAAAATTAGAAAATTTTCTGATGCATAAAAGTATTTTTAATCTTAAAATGAAATTACTTTGCATGTTGGACAGGCAACACGCAAAAAGAAAAAAAAAGGCAGGAGAAAAACATTGTTTAACAACCTTAAAACTGAATAAAAAAATTTTATATTTTGCATATCAAAGCATTGTAATGTTTCCTAATAATTTGCTAAATTTCGTTAACATACACTTATTAATTTAAAAGTTATAGCATGAAAACTATAACAAGCACAAAATGGTTATGAGGTCGGTCCCATGCTAAAAAGTTTAGAAGGATGTTAAATTGTTGGAAAGGATTCAATAAAGGGCTACTCAACAATTAATTTAAATCCTTTTGTAAAGCAGCAGCTTCTTTTTCACAGCTAACACCACACGAAACCTTTATGTTGTCATATACATGTGATCTGTTGATTGGTAGCTAGTGTGATATTGCATCACAATACAGATTGATAACATTTTGAATCTTATCTTTCTTTTCTGGCCTGAAATACTATTATACACTTTTCTTTCTGGAAATACATAAAGGTTCAGTAAAGTAAGATGCAAATCAAAGTGTTATCAGTCTTATTGTGATTCAATATCACACAAATTATCAGTCAAAAGAGTACGTTCTCAATACAGAAACACTTCAGTTTTTAAGTTGCAGTTTAGTGTTTCTCAAACTGTACTAAAAATTTTCAGCACACTGCATTGCACTATTACATTTCAATAATGTAAAACAATATTTAATCAGTTTATCAGAACATCTTGTAGTTTTATTCTTAAAATTATATGCAACTTCCAAATAATAATATCTGGTTGAAAAGGGTTATGTTGTCTTTTCTTAAACGTAGACAAATGTCAGATATACTCTTTTTGCAAGGTAAACCTGAGATTTGTCAACATATAAAGATTAACTAATAAACTTACTAGATGCCACTGAAGAATTCTCAGCACTGCCACCCTTGGACAGAGAAACAGATGCAGCTCCTGAATCACTAACAGATTTATATTTAGTGCAGTTCTTGGGGACTGATTCCATGCATTTTTCATGGCAATTATATCCACAGTCCATGCACCTCATACCTAAAAACACAGGATGAAATGTTAATCACTGATAATATAATGCAATTATTTAAGCATACATAAATGCATTTCATGTTAAATTTGTGAAAATGTAGTTAAATTATGATTTAATTTAGAATTTTTAGAATAACTATAAAATTTACATGTTTCTAGATATTAGAAAAACCTTTAACATAATGTTTGCAATAAAATCACTCTTGATTTTATATTTCAACCCTTTAACAACAACGTGCCTTTTAAACTCCTTTCTGTGCATGTCACTGAGTTACATTCAAAACATAATTAATTTACTTTACTATCAAAGTATTTTAATGAAATTATTATTATCAAGTATGTTATAGTTCAAAGTTTTATATTATTTTAGTTTTTATTCCTTTATTTCAAAAGAAACATTGAAAGCATAAATGAAATCTCTCAGGTTTGTGTCACATAATGCACGAGTTATAAACAATGTCAAAGTTTGGAGAAGTATAGCTTGAAGCAAAAGGGGTAAGTTATGTGCATGTAAGTCTAGACAAGAATGTAGTTTACTTACCCCTTTGACACATATGTTTCAAAGTAATTTGGCTGAATGCAGTTGAAACAAGAAACACATTTTGTCAACCCCTGACAGGTGCTATGCCCACCTTCTATAGATGACATTGAGCTTTAGAAGTTACATGTACTTTCAACATGTACATGTTTATAGTCATTAGAAAGAGCTCATTTTACATAATAACTTAATAACAGTTATTTTCAAATTGGCATCAGGTACCTGATGATGACAGAACCTTGTTGAAACACTATATATTTGCTGTTATGTTAAACTAATATTAAAGTTTTTTTTCATTACCCATTCAAGCCGTCTCCAAGCATTGTTTATACTATTGTTGGCTGCTTTGCTCACGACAGAACTGCAGTTGTTTCTGACCTAAATATGTTATAGTTAGAGAGACAGTTTAGTTGTATTTAGGTTTTATTTTCATATTTTAGTTAATTATGTGTTATTAGAGTTTAAAATTCATATTTGAAAGGTTTAATAAGTTTTATAAAATAACCAAAGCTTCCTTTGCTCTGCAAGGCTTATATTACCAAGTATGTGTAAAAAGATTTTGCCAGAAACTAAGGTATCTCTGTCGTTCATACTGTTCTATCACCTACGGGTACCCGTTGAAATGTGTCAACATAAATAATCAAAGGTAAAGAATAGAAAAGGAAAGTAAAACATTAAAAATAAACTATAAGTGAAAAAGTAAAGGTGTGACATTCATTTAGGAAGTTCTAGAGATTATGCAAGTGATATTTGAAAAACCTTTAACATAATGTTTGCAATAAAATCACTCTTGATTTTATACTTTAACAACCCTTTAACAACAGTGTGCCCTTTAAACTCCTTTCTGTGCAAAGTCTTAGTGCAAATAACTACATTAAATAACAAATTTTTATTAGAAATAACAGAAAAAAACTAAATTTAATATTCTATTTTTCTCAAACTACATACTTTTATGAAAGTTCTTTTGAACAATTTTATTCACTGGTTTTATTATTGGAACAAAATTTAATGAGAGTTATGTAACATGCTACAAAATGCAGCACGTCATTGTTATAGGGTTAAGTAACAACTCAGCTATTAAATTCAAAACTGACACATATCAAGTTTCAGTTTCTTGACAGGAAAACCTTCTACAATCATGACATCAATGAAGATTGACCATCTTTAAATCTATAATTGCTCTAAAGTTTCAATTTTAATATCAAATTTTATTAATAAGTGAAGCACCACTCAAATTAACACTGTTTATTTTGTTTGAATGCTCTTTGACAAGCTCATAAATACATTGAATGATATATGTAATTATACAGCCCTCTGCACTCAGACCACTGTTGCTTGTACAGCAGTTTTATCCTTGAAGTAAAATTGTCCTGAACTTTTCATAGCTAGTTTGAGATAGAAATTAAGTTGAATTAATAGAAAATTAATAGAAATTAACCTGCCTAATTCAAAAAGTGCATTCTTTGTTGTTGTTTTTTTTTATTTAAAAACCAATCAAACCATCATTATATTCTTTATATATATATATATATATTTTTTTTTAAGTATTTCAAGTTATTTTTGACATACTTAAAAAGTCATAAGTTGAATTTTGTCTCCATAGTGTCAAAGTTTAAATACATGCAGTAATTCAAAAACAAACCCAAGTACAAACTCGACAGATTTCCATAAAAATTGGAAGTTTAGTAATTTGGAAGGACGAGTGCAGCAATTTGTCACAGAGGGAATGTAAAATAAAAGAAATAACATTGACATAAGAATAAAATAAAACACTTACTTGCTGAAGACAGAAGAATAATTAACCAAAGTACTGGTGATCTGACTACTGTGTTATGAAGTAAAGAAAATTAAAAGTAAAGAAACTGAATAACTGCATTTGAGCAGAATTGGCAAATAATGGAAAGACAAATTATGAGCACACTGAAGAATGCAGTAAATAAAGATGGGACTTTACAGTGTGTTCTAGCTCCTTCAAAATAGAAATAATATTTCTCTACTTGGAAGAAAGAAAGAATTTGATTTGAAAGCATCAAACTGTATTCACAAAGTGTTCTTTGTTTGTAGATGATCAATAAGTAAACAGGTACTGGAATGTAGAAATATCATGTGCCATGTGACAGTCAATACGGAGAGTAAATAGGATACAACAGAATTATCTCATAAAACAGTACAAGTTCCATGGCTAAATTTAGTACATGACCTTAACGATATTTTTTAAGTTCAAGACTAGAACTACGAGAAATTAAAATATATTGTAGAGCTGGAATATACACACAACAGGAGAATAATATACTCAAACCTATCTATCTAGATTTCTGATAGAATTTAGTTAGTGGTGTGTGAATATTTATCTTTCTGCACTATACAACTAAACTTCACCTTAAGTGTTAAAAATATAAGGCATAAATGTTATCCCATATAGATTCCCCTTTACCTGTAACTTAAGGCTTCTAGCTATCCAACTAACTGTAGCAAATTGTTGGAAGATGTTTTAGCATTTATAAATGGTTTTACATACTAGTTAACTAGTTGATATTCATCATAAATATTATAATAGGTATTTTAAATTCTAAATGCTCAGAAACTAATAAAGAACATGCAATTATTAGTCATTCTTACCAGTTTTTACCAAACCCCAAAGCACGTGAGAGCAATAGTCACAATAAGTTGGTGTTGTGTAGTTGTATTTTTCAAATCGATGAGGATGAGAATAAACTTGAGGTTGGTTAGACTCCCCAACCATCTTGCCTCGAATCAAAATCTCAATTGTTGATCTTTTGTGGATAGATCTTCCATGGGATCTAATAAGTTGTGTGGTGAAAGAAGCTTGTCTCTAAATGAGGAAATATTTCAAACAATGGACATGAAGTTAGATAAAAATGATATAAACACTTAATTTCTAAATGCTTTTCTTTAAAATCTCAGTATAATGTATTTTATTTAGTTCTTTTTTTAAGAAAAAAACCAATGTACCAAAACTGATGGGTTTACCAAAATTAGTATTCTCAAAAACTAAGCAAGTAAATAACACTTCCATTTTACATGTCAGGTAGCATTAAATACTGGAAATGTGCAGAGTAATGCAATACTGATAGATAACTTAACAAAACACATTTATAATTTCATATAAGAATAAAAACAGATTCAAATAATAAAAATATAATAAAACTTTGTACATACTTCAGAATAACAAAAAGGAAACAAAATTATGGGTTTAAACACAATACCTTTTAACTGACCAATACTACAAAGTAGATGTCTATATCTACACTAACCTTTCACCTTTGCAATGCCTTTCTACTCCATATATTCAATAGTTATTTGTCTACTAAATTGTATCAGTGTTTTTTCTAAAATACCTTTACCAATACAATTAAAAAAATTTACAGTCAGCACCAGATTCAAGAAAGAATTGAATACAAATTAGAAGAGATGAAATAATGAACAAAATATGTTAAAAGTACGTGATCAAAACAGGTACATGAGAGACTGAATTCTCTAAAGACTTCACATAAAAATACAAATGATGGATTCAGGAAAGAATACCTTAAATATCTGAATACAGTGAGCAAAAGAAATAAAACAATAATGAGAAAGGCGTGTACAAATCAAATCTATGTTACCCACCCACTGAATAAGATTATTAATAAATTACACTAAACGTATTTCAAACTGTGATCAAATATAAATATAAAAGGGCAGAAGTAAAGAAGAAATAATTAACTTAGCATACTTTTCAGCAAGAAAAACTAATTTTTAACAGATAAAAGTTAGAGCTACCTAGATAAAAATTTACTAATATTTAGGAAAAATTAGGGCAGTCGTTTAGTTTAACATTGTGACTGATAATCATATTATTGTAATGCATGTATATATCTATATAAATATAATAGTACTGTCTGTCCATGTAACTACCTTGCAGGGTGTGAATGGATATTTACCAAAATTGGTATGCAGATCCATGCAGGGGTAAATAAAAATTTTTAGTTTTGTAGTTTTATGGGTTCTTTTATTATTACTTTGCCCCCTCTCAATTTGACTGACCTCATAAGCACCCAAAAAAAATTGAAATAAATCTAAATTACCATTTTTTCTTTTCTAGAATGACTTCAAATTGTAACATGGAACTACATTTGTATATCCTATATAGTTTTAAACTCATAACAGTTTACATCTGTTTATACTTAAATTTTATTGTTTTATTGCCCTTTGAACAATATCTAAATTAATATTTCTACCACGGAAATCATGTTTCCCTATCAAATTATATAACACCTGGGCTACTCACAAGCATACCTCATAAAAAATGTTTATCATTATTATTCTTTATTTTACATAATCTAACAGTAACTAACCTAAAAAATTTCTAATTTTTACATTTTAGTTACTTTTATAATAATAAATAAAGAATACACATTAAAAACAAGAAATAAATACTTACCTGGGTCTTTTTTTGGCTGTTAATTGTTAATACTTAACCCTACTTTTTTATACTAATGGTACTACTGCACTAAATAATATATTATTTGATTAAATAATGCACAAAAGAACACTGAATAATAACATGCAAAAAGCAGACAATGTTCCATAACTATCACAATTTTTCTGGCCCTCTATGTGAAAAGAGCCATTAAAAATTCAGCTAAGCTTGTCAATGTGTTTTTCTTGGGAATAAAGTTGAAACTGGAGTGAAATAGACAATTCTCTGTACAGAAAACAACACAATACATAATTTGATGGATGAAAAATCTTGGCTTTCTATTAGTTTTAAATAATATAGTATTAAATGTCAGACAGAACTATTGGTAATTTCTGAAAGAGAGGCTATGAAAGGTGGGTGTGGCAAGTGTGGTCTGATTTTCTATTTTATGGCTCTGTAACAAAATTAGATAGAAAGTTATAAAAATTGTTCTGCCTGAGTGATGGCATCATAATGAGCATTACAGAGAGCAAATATCAAAATTCTCACACTAGGGGAAATTGAGGTGTTTTTTTAATATTGCCTTACAAAATTAAGAACTTAAAATTTATAAGGTTAAAATTTGGATTATTAGCCACGTTTTTATGCTGAGTTTATTTACATACCATGATAAGAAAGTAGTTTAATTAAATTTTGAATGTAACTCACTAAAACCTCCTGAATGGTGCACAAAATGATGCTCATTCTGAAAAAGTTAAGACATCAAGACCATAATGTTTCATTATCTGATATTACCAGCTTAGTTACCATCTGTCTACAGTTTTAGATGTTGATGTTTTAAACATTCATTGATGACATATTATAAAACACATCAATCTTATGTATTGATTTCCTGCTCAATACACATTCATGAAACCATCAGATCAAAGTCAATGTCATGATCAGATCAACATCTCAAAATGACACGAAACAGCAAAAAATTAAGGAAATTCAAAGCCATTGGAAATACTTTTTACAGCTGTAAAAAATACAACTATTGAATCCAAAATAAAAGGAATAAAAAAAAGGAAATAATCTACATATGATTGACCTTCCCTTGGTAGGAAATATTACTAATCTTGTTTGATAAAGAAAGAGAAAAAGCCTTGATACAGTGAAAGCCCAAGAAAGTCTGCTAGAGAATTCACTTGAGGTCTGCATACTACAAATTACACTCAAAAATTTGGGCTGAGGGACTGAGATAAAGAACCAACAGAATTTTAGTTCAAAGTTTCAATAGGACAAATGAGATCTTGCACAAAAAGAAGACACCAATAGGGTAGTTTAATGTAAAAAGAGAAACAAAGGAGTATGGATCACTGGATATAGAAGCTTAGTACTATAAAAACAAATCAGCTGAAAGCAACTGTTGATTCAGAGGAGGACATTTTTCTCTTTTAAACACACAAAAAAAAAAAAAAACTCAACGTACTCTTAAAAGCAGATATGAAATTTTCATTGAATATCAAGTATCAAGTTTGCTTGGTAAAACAGAATTCAATTCTAATAAAATCAATATAAAAGTTATTTTATGTAGCAGGAAAACTCACGATGTGTGAATCAGAAGCAGGTAGCTCTAACTTATCCCATAAAACCATCCACTTCTGTGGTAAGTGACCAAGCTCAGTCTCAAGGTTGGGGATGACCTGAAAAGAAAAACAAATTATTCTTATATAATTCTTCATGGAATCATCAAACAATATCTTATTTTTGAGATTAAAAGTACAATTGAATTCATGTACCTTTATTTACCTTCAAATATTTCAAATTATTACTCATCTTCATACGAGTAACAGTGTTAAGAATATTTTTGTAGTTTTTAATTCCAACCTGTGAAATATCATATAATGAAACATAAATTTTGTACAACCACCTTTACTCAGATCTTATATTCAAGTTTAAAATGTTTTTGTAACCACTAACCATAAAATTAGTTTTGTTTTTTTAAACACTTCTTTATCAAAACTGTTTATTTATCAAGCTGCTTGTAGATCTACTACTTTGTAAGTTACAGAGTCCTTGATAATGTACAAGTCACACAAACATTTTGAACTAAAATATCATAATTATTGCAATTAATTCCTATAATTAGTGTTCCACCCTAATGCTGAAATAAAGATCTTTGGAGTTTTTTTACACTATGGAAATTCCTAACCCCCTTCCTAAACAAGATAGAACATGTGGTATATACAGCCTACAAATATCAGAACATCTCATTATATTATAATAACAGAAAGTACATAAGCATCAATAACAGTACAAGGATTTTAATTTCTTACTTTAATAATCTAATATTCCATATAATTAATTAACAAACATCACTGTACCCCATTTCCCTGTACAAATAGTAAGACTGAAAAAGCACTATTGTATAAATCTTAAATGTAAAACATGTCATGCTAATTAATATGGTACAGCAATCTACTAAATTCAACCACATGTTAGCCAAGTATCACAATGTTCCAACACAGAACTTTACCTATAATCTTTAATGAGATGTAGAATTAATAATAACATGAATATAATATTTCCAGATATTCATTTATTACAATGTTCCAACACAGAACTTTACCTATATTCTTTAAAGAGATGTAGAATTAATAATGACATGAATATAATATTTCAAGATATTCATGTTGGCTAAAATGGATATTTCCCAAAATAATGTTTAATGTTTTAAAAACTAATTTTCAACATGAACAATAAATTGCTGCAGTCATCTGAAATTATTTATTTCAGGTTACAAATATATAAATCTTTTCTTTAAAATGGATAACAATATTTCTATCTTCTCCTGTTTTGTATTTTTAAGTAGAACTTCAGTCTTTGTTACAACAACAATGACAAAAAAAAGTAACAGTCTTCTATACCTCTAGAAGTTGACTGAACACATCCGGTTGAACAGCCTGCATATTATCATAACAAGCATTGACTATCCTACGAGAAGTTTCTCGAGGAATTCCATCAGCTGCTTCTGATTCTTCCTCCCTCTGCTTCTCCATGGCAACTGCTTCTAAATCATATGGTGGGCCATGTGAAAGCTCCTCCTTCAGGTAATAATCCCATATCTCCAAGTTGGAAATGTTGGAATATGGTCTTAAGACCTAAAAAATTATTATAATTTAGAAAAATAAATGGTACAAAAATTTTCTAAATAACATACTGGTTGTTGCACAAGCATGTGTAAATACAGGGTGGCCCAAAATTATCTTTCCCATTTGAAAAAATTTGTAATCAAATAACTAAAGAAATAAAACCATGCAGTTTTCAGCATCTTGTGACTGAGCTCAAACAATTTTTATTGTCATGTTTGTTTGTTCTTCACTCCAGTGAGTAGTGTTACCCTGTAAAATGGCAACCATGCAAGAAAAGGCACAATGCAATGGATTGGTCCGGGTGGGACAATTCCATGGCCTCCACACTCAGCAGACATCCCTCCACTAGACTTATTTCTTTGGGGGTATATTAAAGATATCATGTATCGTACATCTATAGTAAATATCACAGAGCTATAGACCAGGATAATGGATGCCATCGCCACTGTAACTGTTAACATATTGCAGCAAATGTGGACTGAAATTGAATGATGGTTAGACGTGCTGAAAATCACTTATGGTGCACATGTAGAAGTCTTCTGATATGTCAATAAAAACTGTTATTTGTTACATTTTAAAATAGGAAAGCTAATTTTGGACCACCCTGTACAATAACAAAACCATAAAATATGTGGTAAGATAAAGGAGTATTTCACAAATCATCATCTTATCATCAAACATATAGATAAAGTTTTTTTAAATTATTTTTATTAAGAATTGCAGATAAAGAAAAATCATCACTGGAAGTTGTAACTTACCCCATCTTCTAAATTGGGAACATAGAGGAAATTGTAAAACATAGTTGACCTAGTCCACAGCTTATCTAAGTAATCCCACAGAGATGGACCAAGAACACTCGAGATGTTGTTTAGAGTACCTGTCTTTCCTGAAAACCCTGTTTCATCATCTGACCCACTGTCCAGACCACGATACTTAGATCCTCGTTCATCTGTCAGCCAACCTGCTTCTTCCCTCTCACATTCACTATCCAAAAGAAATGTGCGAAAACGGCACGAGACATAATGGTAGGCCATAAACTTCAAAAAGTACTGGTTGAATTCAAATGATAATGGAAATTGCAAATGAATCTGTACAGAATAAAGATATATTGATTAAGTTTCCTATGACTAAACTCTAGAAGTATTTTTAAGTATCAGCCAACATGAATTTCTAATCATAATCTAATAGCAACATAATAATAGCTTTCTCAATAAATAGTACTCAGAACATAATGCAGCAGCTCTACACATTAAGAACTTAATGTTACTCTCTCAGTCTGTTATTGTACAGCACCATATTAAACAGGTTACCTGAAAACACACAAATATTTTTACAAAGCCTCTAAATGTGAGGGATGTAAAAAAAAAAAAAAAGGAAAGGAAAGGGGGTTGCTCCTCTTATAAGGGATCTAGGAACCCTCCACCTAAAAAATTATGATTTTTAGGTGCTTAAAAATGCCTTCTTGTAGACTTTGAGACAAGAATAAATAAGATATAGAAGGCTCAATTAAAAAAAAAAGTTTATTTACAATTTTACAGTTTCTTTCTCAGTCTTAACTTGTTCACTGCTGTTCTCGAGGTTAACAGCTGACTTGACAGTATGCACTACGATAGCAGAACTCTTCTTCCCATGATTTTTTGGTACTTTGCCTCATTTTGTTTTTTCTTTATCAATGCAGATTTCTGAGTTATTCAATTCTTATGCCCATGTGGGGCGAGTTTGAAACTTGTGTATCAGGATTTGTATCACTACGTAATGCCAACTAACAAAGAACAGAATGTAGAATACTCTTTAACATCAGATGATTGATGTCACTAGAACCGATAGTAGTAGTGACAAATAAGACAGATAACTATGAAATTAGCAGAAAATTTTGATAGGTAAAGTGTCAGGAGATTTTGTATGAATATTATAAGGACAGGATAAACTTAGAAATCAGAAATATCCTACTAGCTTGGAACACTTGGAAGCCTATATTTTTTACTTGGTAGGTTACAGGATATATTTTAGAACTGTAAAAACTAACATGTTCCTTTCAATACTGACAGAATTCATCTTTGAACTTTGTACTCATCTTGTCATCTTAATATTTTGCCAGATATTTCCCATTTAAAAAAATTTTAAATAAGCTCTTTAATGATCATTACTGTTAAACTAAATGGTGTAATCATTATTCAGTTTTTGTTAGTCGAGTGGTTTCACTTTCTATAAATCATTTTGAGTTCGTATTTTGCATCGTTTTTTCATCACTTTCTTAGTAGTACTAACTGCTAACCCTGATTTCTGTATGAATAGCTGGCAAGCAAATTTGTCTGTAAAAAAAAAATTGGATCTGAAAATTGGTTAATTCCAAACTTTTTTTTTTAATACTTTTCATGCAAGACAACCTAAGGGCTATATGCATAGCTGTACCTAATTTTGAGCTTACAAACTACACAGAAAACAGATAATCATCAGCACCCACCATCAATTCTTGGGCTACTCTTTGCCAACAGAATAGTGGGATTTAGCCATCGCTCTTACAGCATACCCTCTGCCTCAAAGTGAAGAGTGTAATTTTTGCATAAAGAAAATGCAAACCATGATCCCTCGGATTTATAATCTGAGCACATTAAACACTAGGCCATGCTTGGACAATTTTTTATGCAAGATCTTTTTTTTTCTCAAAACAAATTTTAAAAGACCAAAGTGTAAATTTCAGAGTTTACTTGAGTCCTTTTGAACCCTTTCAAGTTTCCATTCAGATCATGACTAGAAAAAATGTGTGCTATTTTCATCTACTTGCATATATAAATCCCCAAATATCAGAGTTTTTATGCAAATAACATATATCTGTATCTTGGATCAGGCTATTGCATTAACCCTATCACCACAAGTATCCTTTACTGCACATGACACAAGGTTTTAGTGTCTTACATTCATAATTTTATTCAACTACTTTTTGTTTTTGTTATACCAATTAATACATAAAATCTTAGCTAATAACCTATATTTTAATAGTATATAAGTTTTAAATTCTTAATTCTACAAGTCAATATTTAAAAAAATCTTGAATTTCCCTTAGTGTGACACACATGACACATTTTCACTAGGCATCTTCTCTTGTCTATTTCATCCACCATCTCTCCAAAATGTACAAAATTAAACATAAATTACTCACTATGAAATCATCATTGCTCAGACAAACCACAATTTTTTGTAGCCTTCAATTATGGTTGGGTACAGAGCAATCAAAAAGAAAATCAGACCCCTCCTGCCGCACCCTCTCTTTCAGGATTTGTTAATAGTTCTCTCTTATATTTAATTATACATTACCTATAACCAATAGAAAGCAAAGGTTTTTATCTATCAAATATTTATCTATTTTATCTATCTATCTATTGTATAACATTGAGTTCTGAACAGATAATCGTCAATTTAACTCGGAGTACAAGCTTTGTTCCTGTGGGAAAGCTGATGACTAGCTTGGATGAACTTGCAACGGCTCTTGTTGTATAGTTAGAAAGCCAAAAAAGTTTTAGAGTTAGGGGAATTTGTCTACTTTTGAATTATATTAGTCTATGTTCTTTGGTGCATTATTTAATTAAATACAAATTATTTAGTGCTTTAGTATAAAAAACTAGGGTTAAGTGTCATCAACAATCGACAGCAAGAAAAGAGAAGATTGGGTAAGTACTTTATTTCTTGTTTTTCATCTTTATTCTTTACTTATTATTATAAAAGTAACAAATCTAAAAATAGGGAACTTTCTTAGATTAGTTAAGATTAAATTAGGTAAAATAAATAATTGTTTGTTTCTAATTAAGCACAAAGCTACACAATGGGCTATCTGTGTCACTGGGGGACTAAATAAATAATAATGTAATAAAAATGTTTCACAGTAGTTAGACACTGTTCAAAAGGCAATAAAACAATAAAATTTAATTATAAATAGATGTATACTGTTACCATCTTAAAGCTACATAGGATAAACAAATGTAGTTTCATGTTACAATTTGAAGTAATTCTAGAATGAAAAAAAGGGTAATATAGATTTATTTCGGTTCTTTTTTTTTTTGGTGGTTACGAAGTTAGTCGAACTGACGGATCCCATATAGAGATAGGGTAGAGAAAATAACAGATAAAATATAAAGTGTTACTGAAAACAAACACTTGAAATGCATTTAGGAGGTTTTAGGGATTACACAAAAGAAATTTGAGATTTTTGAGTGGAGGAAAAGTATTTTTAATCTTAACATGAAAATCACTTTGCACATGGACTATTCAAAACAAATACTCAATATATTCAGGGACAAATTTTTATTTTAGCTTATTAAAAATACTTCACTAAAATATATGATTTTTTGTATGTGAAAGACTTATAATGTTAACTGAAAGAGTACCATATTTTATGAAGATATACACTATATTGAAAGTTAGAAGTGTTAAATCTATAAAGACTTTAAATTAGTACAAAGAAGTCATGTGGTTGGTCAAATTGATCGAGCCTGTGTTGAGAGATTTATTGTATGCTGCTAATGCCTTTTCAAGTAATGTACGAATTAGTTTCTTCACCATATCCTGTGGTTGCCATTCTTCTGCTCTTGATATATTTTCAAAAGCACAGAAACATACATCTATATTGCTTTCACAAAATTTAGGCCAATGCACATGTATGCTTCTTTCATGCATACCAGCCCTACCATCAGAATTACCCTGCCTGCCTTCCATTCATCATCAACATCTAATAAAATGTACCACTTTTAAATCTTCAAAAACATTTTGCAGCCTAACACATGAATTAGGTACCAAATGATGAGCAATATGTTGTGTGTTCTGGCAAGTAGCTGTTTAATCGCAGTGATTCTAAAAATAACAACTTTGTTACGCTTTAAATCTTACATACATATAAAAGTACACAACACCTTTTGACAGAGAGATACCAAATGATCTGCAAATTATAAAGATTAAATTTCAAATTAAAATAACTAAAAACATTCCATATTAGGAATGAAAAGCTTTACTTGCCTGATGCACAATGTCCAGAAATTGCAAAAACACAGGAGCAAATCCACTGGCTACAGTAGCAGCAGTATGATTACCTCTGTGACTGAAGCGGTGACCAAAAGCTAGCCATTCCTTCTCAATTAAGGTTCGAAATCCTTCATAAGTCCGGTAGTAGGGATCAAGACAAAGCTGAGCAATGGATGACACCTTAAAAATGAAACACATAATCAAATTATGTGTTCTATACATGTGTGTTTGTGTGTGTATGTATAAAATATCTTAACAATACACAAACATTCTACAGAACTTAACTTTGAATGCATTTTAGATTTTGAGTGCTACCATAATATATAAGAATTTCTTTTACACATATGTTTACTCAAATTTATGATCAAGGGTGAGAAATTACAGAAGTCAGTTAAAATCATTCAAAAAAACCTAGTCATTTGAAGATACATATCTTTATTATGTCATAAACTAAATGTGATAAGCACTGTCAAAAAAACATACAATATAGTGAATACAAAAAACAAAACACATAGCTATCACATCTATAACTAACTAAAAGTATTTATTTGGTTCAATAATAATAATGGATATTTAATTTAATTTAGATGACTATACAAAATCGAAGAAGAAGAATTCAAAAAACTCACTGAACAAATGCATAGTTTCTGACTAGCCTCAACAAAGGATTTAACATCAACTTCTATAAGCAATGTAAAAAAAGAAATTTACAGTTTAGAACTACTCATTATGTTTCTGAATTTATCATGTGCATCACACAATTTGACAGAACAGATAATACTAACTTGACAAGTAACATCCCACCCATCTTCTAGACATATCATCACAGATGAGCCTTGCACATCCATCAAGTCAACTACTGCTCCAGACAGCTGTAGAACATTCTGGAGCTAGTAAGGATTACACAAAAATCATTAAAACACAACATCACATTTCTCTGCAATTCTTTTCATATTACTTTCATTTTGTGTAATGTTACAACATTACACCTACTACTATTTATTTTTTTGTATTCTAACTTCAGGACAAAGTGAGCTGAATATTTAAAAAGGGTTTTAAATTTTCACTGTTATTGATAAAGGTATATATTACACCAGACTGACTACTCACAGATATGCTTTACAATCATTAGAATTTAATTTAATATCTCTGCAGATTTATAATATATGTAGTTTTTACTCCTTTGTTAACTTACAATTTCAAATGAAGTTTGCCTGAAGCTCTCATATGTTCAATTTACATATAATTATATATATCATGTTAAGCTTTAAATGTTTGGTTTAAATACAAGTTCATAATGTTCTATTTGACAACAAGATTAAGTAGTTCATTTTATGCACAACTTTATATTATCATTAACAAAAGCTATTTTCACACACATTCAATTGTGTTGTATAACACATTTACCAGCAGCTTTACAATATCTACAGAGTTTGAGATTATATAATAACACTCCATTTACATGTGACTTCCAACTTTACAAATTAAGAAAACTTTACATGCAAACTATCTTAAGTTTTACACTGCTAAGTTTTATACCAGCCTTACAATACTAGTTTTTACCTGCATTTTTTATATTAAACCTATCAGCAAATTTATATTAAATGCTATGTTTACTGTAAAAACTTATAATTATGTATTCATCTCTTACTTTACAATGCTATTTCCTTCTTAAGTTTCAACATTACTTACCTGCAGTTTTTACAATGCTATATTTATTTCCAGATTTATAATCCTATGTTTTATACAAGAAGTTTTGTATAACTTCTTGTAGTTCCTTTTTGTAATTTCTCTTTTTACAAAAATAACATATTGGCCCAATTATAAGATGATGTTTTTTTGATTAACAATTAGGCTGTAAAATTCATAGTCACCTTATAATCACTGCCAAACACAGGCCACTTCCCCCAAGCTTGCCTGTTGCATTCCTGAATGTCCAGATAGCATCTGTTTAGGCATGCACGCGAGATACTCATTTAAAGTCATCGCTAAATCTTACAACTAATCCACCTACAGGATGTTCAATTATAGTATTGATTTTGCTGGTGCATTATTGCTTTGACTGTGCTCATTTTAAATTTTATAATAATTGTTGTCTGGGAGTATCATTTTAGTGATCGACCCTTGTGCAAGAATGAGTGACCACATTGAAAGACAAGGAACAAGAAAGTGTGAAATTAATAAAAAATTATGATGGAGTTATGATGCAAATCTTAAAATTATGGTGGTGCATGAGGCAGAAAAAATTATCAATTGTACCGCTGCTACAAAATTTGGGGTAACTGAAAATAATGTGAGGCATTGGCAGAAACAAAAGACTGAACTCCTTAATGCACATTCTACAAGAAAGGCATTTTGCAGACCTAAAAAAGGATATTATGACAGTTCTTTTTCCTCTCTTATGGTTTCTGAAAATGGGGATTACCATATATTCAAGACTGCTCTATAATTGGGTCAATATGGTATTTTATATACATTTCATTAATTTTAACAATGCATTGTGCTAAAAAGTATATCAAAATAGAATGTTCCAAACATTTTTCATAAATAAGCAAAACAAATGACATAGATATACTTTTGATAACTGAAGCAACTGATTGTAATTTTATTAATTCATTGATTTTATCAATATTTTACACATTTGGTATATAGCTTTATCTCAGAAGCTGTTCGAGGTGATATAAAAACTAGTTCTGGATGTTTAACTCTAGTGTCTATGAGCACCAATTAGTGTCACATAAAATAATCAGTTAATCAAAGTACAATTAAAGATATGTGTCATGAAAATAAGCAACTAACTGAAATTAGTGTTTCCAACTATTACCAATTTTTATTATTCCAACTATCCAAGTATCATGTGAGAATACTTAATTAACGAGCCCAATGATTAATCATTTATCAAATTCCACTATTTACCACAAACTATATACAATGATAAATCCAAATGCATTATTTTTACCCATTTATATATATATATATATATATATATCACACACACTGCTTTTAAAGACTACAGTCTCATCATTCAAACTGGAATCTTTTTTCCTTACCTGGTTCAGCCATTCTGAATTTTCTGTGCTTCTGTAAAAATTCAGGTCTGGATCTGTTACAGGGTCACTTGGGATGCATGCCCGCATAAGTTTCTTGAAGCTTGCTTTGATCTGGCGTACTTCCGTGAAATCGACCGGTATGAAGTCACAATTTGGATAAGACTCTGGTTTCAAACCCTTTATACAATAGAAAACATTCAGCATTTAACTATTGGCATAAAACTTTTTTTCTTGTAAATTATGATTGCTGATAATATTCAGGTGTACTTTCTACAATCAAACTTAATCAATCAAATATTTTATAATAATTTCCCAGAAAATTAGATAATTTTATGTCTGAATATGTTTCCTATTAAGAACAGTTTTTACTCTTAACAAAAATGCCTCAAATTATGTCATATATGTTTTTATTACTATAATAGACAGTAATCTGAAGTGAAAGAAACAGCTCTGATGTGCATGTTTTTATTAATTAATGTCTTAATGACACATCACAGTACTGTCATAAGTATCATATAAAAATTTAAAAAAAAGATGAAAGATATATCACCAACTACTTGCCTTGATCTGAGCTTTTTCTCCAAACACATACAGTGCCACTCGTTGAAATGTATGAGCACTTCCTTCTATTCCATCAGCAAAATCAGATAATCTTGAGGTGCGATAGCCCATTTCTGAACCTAGACTTGTGATTGACCCTTGTCTTCTCTCCTTTAGGCTGCCCCATCGTAATTCTTTAATAAGTACCAGATCAACATAATAAACTTATGGCTACTTATATTACAAGAAAGTGGGTATTACATACATAAAGTTAATTACATCGGCTCTTGAATATCTTCGAGAACTAAAAATATACTTATGTAAAAAATATTATTTTAATCTACAATGTTTACAGTTATACAAATGATTCTAGTCTTAGTTAACTGAAAAACAACAATTTGTGCTTAACTGTGAAAGTATCTGATACAAAAAAATTAAAAAACTAGTTCCAATTTTGCAAGTAAATGAATTCAACTTTTCCTTTCTTACAGTCCTTGTACCATTGAGTTTTAGTTAAAAATGCATCATCAACACTGGTGCTTGTCAGTGTTAAATTATAGTACATGTTTGTGCTTTATATTATATTTTTACTGATTCTACTCAGTATTGCAGTTTCAGTTGTCTTTTTGTAATACAAAATTTCTGTAACAGCAATCTTCAATCATAAGAATGATACAGAATGAGCCCCATAACCTGATGACTGGTTAGCAAACATAAAATATCTTCTTATATCCTTATCAAAGTTCTTTTAATATGGACTAGAAATCGAATACTTTTAAATGAAAATAAGCCGTACAAATCATTGCTGATGATCAACTATTGCATACAACAGTCTCTTAGAACAGCAGGAACATTGTTGATGGAGTGGAAGCAAATTACTTTGAAGAAAATCAACAGAATGTATCTTTTCTGATAGCCAACTATTACAAGTAAAACATATAACAATTTTTAGAAAGATTAAAACTCTGTATACCAACAGGAAATAAGTTACTTTGAAAACAAAAAAAACAAAAACAGAATGAATCTTTTCTGCTTTTCATTATTACATAATACACAGAACAATTTCTTAGAATAGCTGGAAAGTTGTTTGAACAGGAAATTAGTTACTTTACAGAAAACTAATGGAATGAGTCCTCTGATGACTGACTGTTATGTTTGTTTTGACTTTTGCACAAAGCTTCACGAGAGCTATCTAGGCTAGCCATCCCTGATTTAGCAGTGAAAGACTAGAAAGAAGGCAGCTTGTCATCACTACCCAACACCAACTATTGCACTACTCTTTTACAAACGAATAGTGGAATTGGCCAACACATTATAATGTCCCCATGGCCGAAAGGGCGAGCATGTTTGGTGGGATGGGGATTCAAACCCACGACCCACAGATTGTAAGTTGGGTATCCTAACCATCTAGCCATGCCAGGCCAACTGTCTGTTATGTGCAAAAGTTTTTTTATTTGGTACAAAACATCAACAAAAAATCCCTGTTAAGGTCTTGCTTGCAAACATAATTTCTTTAAATTACAAAATGCTAATTATGACTGCAACAGCAAATGCACGATTCATTTTCATTAGAGCAAAATATCTGGTTCAATTTTATTAAAACAGACTTCAAATACAATAAAAGCCTAAATCCTCTCTAAAACATTTCTTTAAGTCTTTCAAGATTTTGCTTGTTACAATATTCTTCTAACATGTCCTTATCTTTATAAAGAATGTATGGTGACTAATATAACAAGACTAATCTCACAACAAAAATTGAACAATAGGAAATTATAGCAACAAAAACTTTTTACAAAAACAAAAGACAAAAATTTCAGTAAAATTTGAAAATCATTGTATCTACTTGATCAACAAGTAGCACAAAGTTAAAAGTACAAATAACCTGAAATATATTTCTGTGAAACTTACGTCTTCCACCTTTGCCACCAGATGATCGCAAACTGTTCACTGCCTTCTGTAAGGGGTTACCACGTCGTGCTAGCTCAGGGGTCAAAGTAGGAAAATTGTCCAGGCCAGCAGAACCCATCACTAGAGATGTAATACTAAGTGTTGAATCATTAATTCCTGCTTTACCTCCTCGGACCAGAGGTGTACAATCAACGATGCTAGAAATGAATTTCTCTTGTTCAATGTGTGTAGACGTTTCACTTGATGTGCCTTTCTCAAAAAAAAAAATTCAAAATTTCAGTAAAGTCAAATCTTCCTTTAACCTATAAAAGTAGTACTCTATAGCATTCATATCTTAATCTGAAAATCTAATAAAAACATAGGTAATATTCAACAGAACTTAAAAAGTACATGGACATTGTTAAATAATCCATAGTATTTACTTTACAAGGTATTTATTGGTAGCAGCATAAGGAATAGAAGTACTGAAATACGTGAAACTTGGTTATATTGCTATTTGCACAGCTGTCATATATCTAGTAAACATGCAAATTAACTTTTTAATAATGAGTTCCATTACAGCTTTAAATAGATTATTAACATTTTGCAAATAAAATAATTACTCAAATCTTATTGAATGTACATATTTATTATGACTAACATTTATGTTTGAAAATTCAATTCTTCTTCATTTCTGTATATTTTGCAGCAGTAAGTAGTTGTGCATAGTTTGTTTGTTTTTTGTGGGGGGGATATAGATTTGTGAATATATTATATATTTCAACCAGAAAAAAAAAATGTCAGTAGCATGATGACATAAAAACCTTCATTTCCTAAAGATGTGGAACACTAGAGCTTAACAATTTGCATAAGAATTTTAAACAGCATTTTAAGTTTAGGTGCTGTGGTCCAGACAAGCTAAGAAGTTCTAGTATTATTAAAGCAATAGGCTTTTTTTCACAGGAGCTACAAATAGCATAACTGTTAAGCCAATTAAGACAACAGTGTTAAAAAAAAAATATGGTGAGCCACAACAAATCCTATTACAAAATAAATATATTAGGATATTAATTATTTTATATTTCTTGAAATGTTTTTTCCTGTGGGGATATTTATATTGTCAAATTCACATTTGAAAAACTTGTATTCTAGACTCATTCAGTAATTATGCAAATATAATTTTATCATGAAAAAAGGGTGTGTGTGCCTTACCTGTAGCTTTACTTTCATTTATTGGGAGTTTCACTGTAGCCAACCCAGTACATATAATATTATTGTGATGTTTCATCACATTTTTCTACTTAGAAAGACTTGCTTTCTATTTACAACTATACATCGCAACTCTACATGGTATTCAGTCTCTCTTTTACGCAGGTTAAGAAACATCATAAGTATGTTCAACAGCACTTGTCGTGACAATAAAAGAATATTTAACTTACAGAACTAAGATTAATCAAGTTGGAATCATCCCCATTCCCACTCACAGCAGTCCAGAAAATGGACAAAATATTAACTTACCAATGAATTCACAGATGTAATTAGAAGATAAAAAAAAACAAATTGTTTTGTTAAAAGAACAGTGTCATTAATGTATAGTTACCTTTCATGTTCTGACCTAAATAGCTTGTTTTTAATAAGATTTTTTTAATAATTATCTTGTGACACTCTTGCAATACATTTATACTTGTAGACATACACATACATTTACACTACTTACTTTTTTATCTTGTCATAGCCATTTTTAAGCTGATTTTTTTAAGTATTCAATTTATGCACAGTCTGTTTATAGTTTGCACCTTATTTTACACAATTACTTTAGAAGTTATATTTTCACATCACACTTTGTCACTGAAAGATAAATGATCATAAAACACCTGAAGAAGATGGTGGTCCTTTCAACATTCCAATAACTCCCTTTCCATGAAAACTGCTGCCACGTAGAAGAAGAGCCTTTGTCCTTGGATGACACCAGGAAATGACAGGAAATCTAAAGATGAATCAACATAAAAATAGTATGCTATATGATTTTTCAACAAAAATTATGAAACTGTATTTACAGCAACAACTCCATGTTCACTTTAAAAAAAATCAATGTTGATCCAGAAACATAATAAACAAAATTTCATTTATTTAAAAAGCCTTAAGACTTTGGGAAACTTTTACATCTGACTTTTGAAGGACATACCAATGTTTGAAGTAAAATGACTAAAATGATTACTTATAATGTAGATACTATAGGAATCTGTACTAATATACAATTTCAAACTAGTCTTATCATTTACCAACACTCCGAACATAATGTCTTTTGACCGTGTACACTAGCAGGGATAAAAATAATGAAATAAAATTACATTTATTTGAGGGAAATATATCAGGAAGATTACATTCCATCATGTAAAGTTGAAGTTCCCCATGAGTTGTTTTTTAATTTAATCCATGCAATATGTTCACTTTCATTGGTCATAACTAAAGGAAAATAGATGGATCGTGCATTCCCAATCAGGAAAGCCAACTAAAAAGTTGAAATTCCTCAGGAATGGAGGAATGTAATATTTTAATCCCTGACTAGAACAGAGCAATTAGCAAAATATGATAATTGAGTAACGGTCAAGCTTATTAATCAAATACTCTCAAATGAGACTTGGATAATTGGAGTCATGACACTAATTGATTAAGCTGGGCAATCATGAATTAATCAAAAATAATAATGAGAAATCACAATGGCAATATTTTGATTACTTGGATAGTTGGAATAACCAAAAACATTAATAACTGGAAACATTAATTTCAATTAGGTGATTATTTTTGGGACAGTAATTGATTTAATCATGCAATTACTAATTTATTTTGTGTGAAACTAATCAATGTAATTGATGCTCATAGGTAACTGATTATATTGATTATTTGAGTTAATTGTCCAGTTCTAACTGTTACACATTAACCTGTAGTGATTGTCTAAATGTAACTGTCCTGTGATTGTCTTAATACAATTGTCTCATGATTACCTAAGCATAATGTATTGTGACTGTCTAAACATTTTTGTCTTATTACTGTCTAAACATAATTGTTCCATGACTGTCTAAAAATAATTATCTTGTGATTGTCTAAACATAATCATCTTGTGATTTTTTGCGCATAATTGTATTGTAACTGTCTAAACACAGTTGTCTTGTGAAGGTCTAAACATAACTGTCATGTGATTATCTGATGAACATAACCATCTAAATATAATGTTTTGAGAAGAGTGAAAATATATTGAGTGTTACAAAATATGTTGACTACATATAAATGTGAAGTGAGAAATGCTTCAAAACATTTTGCTGAACTTTATATCAATTGCAGCAATATCAAAGCAGCTAACTGCTGATTGGATGATTTCCAAAATCTCAGGAATACGTTATTTTTGCAAACTTTATTGTTAGATAAAGGGCTATGAGATTTATGCAAAGCTATTACTAATGCAAAAATATTAGTTCAAGTTTAATTATGCTGAACTGGATTACCAGATAATTGACACAAGAGTACTACCATAATGAACTTCCTCTATCTTTTTAATTATGCTGATCTGGATTACCAGATAATTGACACAAGAGTACCACCATAATGAACTTCCTCCTACAAGTAATGAATTAATATTCATGCTGCTTAAGCTTGTGGTACTTTATATGCTATCTTTATAATTACATATAAATGCATCATTCTGAAGTTACCACAAATCTTTGAATTAGAGCTTTCCATTTCTCAATTGTCTGGTAAACAAATATATAATAAAGGCACTTAAACAAGGCACAGTGCTAGTTAAGTCTTAAGTTTATTTATACAGAAAACATATTACCAGATATCAAGATTTCTAGTGAAGGTTCTCTTGAACTCTTTACGTTTGACTAAGTTATTTTTCAAAGTATAGAATCTATGAATATAATTTGGAAGAAGAATATGTAAATTTTCTTTAAGTATATTTATTATGTTTTAGCATGTAACTGCATGGTGTGATATAAGCTGAAAAACAAGGTATATATTGAGCTTTGTCAGCAACTCTAAGTTGTTTCTAAGTTATCAACAGAACAAGATTTATATGAGTATCTATAAAAAACAGATATCAAACAGTACAGTAGGAGAACAATATCACAACAAGCTTAATGTCAAAACTTCAATTACAGTAGCAAAATAATAACCACTTGTGACAAATAAGATCTTTTACCTGTTAAGAAATTCTGTTTAGAATTACACTTACCTACAATGTCGATAACATCGTGAAAACTTTCGAACACTGTCATCGCTTACAGCTGCTGGAACCACAACAAGTGCAGGGTAGCTATACATAAAAAATACAGTATTGCTCTAAATGTTGAAACATTCAATCAATTAATTAATCTTTGAATTTATTTAGTCCTGAAAAGGACACTTTAAAAAATAAATCAAGTTTAAGACTATTACACATATTCTACTTATTTTTAATAATAACATTTCTATTCTAGGAGAATAGATTTGCACACATTAAACTAAAAATAAAATTAAAACTGCTTTTCTAAAAAAAAATCATGAATATTATTTATATATTTTGAATACAAAGACAAACACTATCCTCATCACTGCTCTCTTGCATTTTATATATCTTAATCTTACTGAAACTGTTTATAACCCGACTACTCCTACTGAAACCAAGAACCTATGTAATTAAAAGAAACTTGTGTGCCAGTCAGTGTACTAGCTCATATGAAAACCAAATATTCCTATTGGTTAATTGTACAGTGGTATTTTTACATTTATAAGAATGCAAAATGAATGACGTTTAACCTGTACTGTTCCATACGAGTGCAAAACTACAATGTTTGGAACATTAACTTTACAGACAATTACTTTAGTAACATAAACAAGTGTGCAAGGAAACAAATTCCAAGAGGCACCTAAAAATCAACAATTAGGCCTAAAGTTTTAATATGTTTTGTACATGAAGCACGAGTTTATCTACTATATAATCTACAGCAATTAACCTTCCTAGTCACTGCCATAACTTCATTCGTTTTCAATGCTTTACAGCTAATACAATGCATAAAAGAGAATTATTAAAGTTTTCAAATAATATAAAAATGCAATTTAGATGCATATACACATAATAAATTTACAAAAAATACATGACAATAGTGGATCTTTACCCTTTTTGATACCATCATTTTAAAAATTCACTATTTTATAAATATTATGTTTCCAACTATCTCAATATAGGTGTCTAAAAATCAACAATTAGGCCTAAAGTATAAATATCCTTCATACTTGAAGAACAAGTTTACCTGGAAGAGGAATAAAATATTTCACTATTTCCATTATTGGTGGTAGTGGACCTGATGGTTTGTTAATACTTTTGGAAAGAGTAAAATAAAAGGAGTTGATACCGTTATGGAAGGAAAAAGAAAAATAAGTAAAAATAGCATCAAATGATGACAGTTGATTTTTACACTTCTTGATACTATAGTTTTATAAATTCTATATTTTATGCCTTTGATCAAGAAAAAATCTGAAGATCTTAGTCAAAAATGGCGATTATCCACAAAGACATGTTTATACAAAAAGGTTGTGTACAGAGATATATCTCATTTATAGTCATTAAACATTTTGACACTTCTTTACTTTAAACCTACATACAGCAATTTCATATTCTGCTTAGCAGGTTTCTGTTTCATTCATGTCCAACTACATAATAAAACAACAGCATTATTTAAAGGATTTATCTATTTAAAACATATATTCTTCTTACATGTGTAGTATTTCACTTAATAATGCTGCAAGTAAGAAAAAAATATCTTTGGGCTTTGGCTCATGCTTTGTCATGAAGGTCAAGGATTGAATCCTGTCTATATCCTATTTTTTAACTTTTTTCTAAAACAATGCTTCAGTAATCAAATAATTTTAGTATATATATATATCATACGTGAAACATGAGTTTATCACATGGTAAATATTTAATAAAAGAGGAAAACAGTTTAAAACATTTCAAAAATATCCTCTGTTATATATTCTAATGTTACCGAAATTGTTTACAACCTGATTACTACTACTGAAACCAAGAATAAATATCAAACAGGAGAAAAAAACACTTTTAAAACATTTGAGAAATATTCTCCTATATTGTTGTTTGAATACAGAATTCTACAAGTGAATTAAACAATCTGTTTAACAGCTACTACTATTTGACATCAAAATGGCATCTTCTTTGGATAAAATGTATTCATG